ACGTCGCGTCGGCTTTGGGCAACTGCGTCGAGGGCGACGCGCGGCCCATCGTCATCCCCATGGAGCTGCCCGACGGCACGATCCACGAGACGTCCGACGCGCACCTGCCCGCGGAGACGCGCGCGAAGCTCCTCGTGTTCCTCCACCGCGCGCACGAGAGCGACAGTTTGGAGCCGGGGTTCCTCGCGGACCTCGCGGACCGCGTGCCCAACTTCGAGACGCACCTGCGCTCCATGAAGAAGCTCGCCATCGACGGCGACCCGCGCTTCGCCGCCGCCGTCCAGGCCTTCGAGATGATCGGCGACACGCGGGACCTCTGGGAGACCATCGAGATCATCGACGAGATGGAGGCGAAATAGAAGAATCCAGCCGCGGGAGACCGCGCCTAAGACCCCGAAGACGACGGCGTGTCCTAAAAAAAGGGGGCGCGCCTAGCAGAGCTGGAGCTCGCCGCGGCACGCGGCGAGCGCGTCGACGACGGAGCCCGCGCCGACGTCCGCGCCGTCGAGGGCGCGCAGGGTCAGGCCCGGCGGCGCGTCGCCGCCCTTCTTCGCGCGGTACTGCTTCGCGAAGAAGTCGAGGAGCTTGGCCGCGGGCTTCGCGTGCCACTTGTCCGGCACGGTCACGGAGAGGGAGATCGACGCGCGGTCGTCGGCGCCGAGGTAGTGCATGTGGAGCTTCGACAGGTCCAGGGGCTCGAGCAACGGCTCCGGCGCCTGTTCGGGCGCGGGCCGCGGCGACGCGGGCCGCGGCCGCGGCGACGCGGACCGGTCGCGCGCGACGCGGAGCGGGAGCTTGGGCTTGGACGCGGGCGCGTTCGTCTTCCGCGGCGGGCGGGCCGCGGGCGTGACCTCCGGCGCGGGCGGCGGCGCCGGCTTCTCGAGGGGCCGGAGCACCGCGGCCGCCGCCGCGGGCCGCGCCGTCCGCTCGAATTTCGGGGGCTCCGTCCGCGGGAGCCCCAGGTCGCGCTGGCGCTCCCGGAGCTCGAGGTAGGCGTCGCGGCGCGTCGCCAGGTCGTCGACGTCGCGCGCCGCCGCCGCCGCCGCCGCCCGGCAGCGCCGGAGCTCCGCGTCCGCCATAGCGACGTCGACGGCGATCTGCGCGGACGCGACGTCCTTGTCGTCGGCGTACTCGGCGGCCGGCCGCACGTAGGCGCCGAGCTTCGACGCGCTGCGCGTCCGCTGGAGCAGGTCCGCCGCCGTCTTGGCCTCGGCCGCGCGGAGCGCGGCCGCGCGGTCGCGGTCGCGCTTGAAGCGGCGCCGCGCCTTCTCCAGGTCGCGCTCGCGCGCCTTCGCCTTCTCCGCCGCCGCCAGCGACCGCTTCTCCTCCTCGCGCGCCAGGGCGCTCGCCAGCGACGCGCGCTCGTCGTGGCGCTTCCGCGCGGCCGCGCGGTTCGCCTCCTCCAGTTCCAGATTCGCGACGAACGCGCGCGCCTTCTCCGCGGCCTTGGCCTCGCGGCGCCTCTTCACGGCGGCGCGCCGCTCCAGCGCCGCCGCGTCGTCGCCGTGGTCGTCGTCGTCGTCGTCGCTCGACGACGCGGGCGCCGCGACCTTGGGGCCCTCGAGGTCCTCGTCGAGCTGCGTCTCGGGCCGGCCCGCCGCGCGCCGCTCCTCGAGGCAGGCCTCGAGCGCGTCGGCGCTCGCCTGCTGCTGGGCCTCGTGGAACTGCATCATGCCCTCGGCCTCCGTCTTCTGGGTCAGCGACGCGTCCATCTTGCGCCGCGCCTTCTCCGCGGCGCGGTTGTAGCCCTGGCCGACGAGCGTGTCGTACTGCTCCTTGTGCAGGTCCACCTCGCCGGCCGTGCGCTTGATGACCTCCGTCGCGTGGGCGATGGCGACGTCGTGCTCCTTGAGTCTAGCGGCGCAGAGCTCGGGGATGTCGTCGGCCAAACCGATGGACACGGCCTTGTTGATCGCGCCGCGGATGCCTGGGAAGGAACAAGGGTGAGCGGTTGCGGACGCTCGTTCCGAAAAAAAGCACCCACGCTTCGAGACCGTTCCGAGATACTATCGCTCGTTCAAGAATCAGCCGAAACGAGTGGACATCGGCCGAGAGAGAAGTCGGGAGTTTGCGGCCCCGGCAGACGCCCTCGGGCGTGCACCGCGTCTCCGAGCCGAGGATCTGCGCCAACCCCTCGAGCGCGGACCGCCGCAGCTTCCACTCGACGGCGTTGGCGGGCACGCGGCTCCGCGAGAGGACGACGGGCTTGTTGTTCTCGTCGCGCGACGGCTTCGACGTGCCCGCGCCCGCGCCGTCCGCGCGGCGCGCCGCGGCCTCGGCCCGCGCGGCCTTCTCCGCCTCCTTGGCGGCCTCGGCGCGCGCCGCGCGCTCCGCGGCGGCCTTGATGTGCTCGGCCCGCAGGGCCTCCTTCTCCGCGGCGCTCAGCGTGCGCTTCTCTTTCTCCTTCTCCTTGGACGCCGCGTCCTTCCTCGCCTCCTCGCGCTGGCGCGCGCGCTTCGCGCGCGCGGCCTCGGCCTCGTTCAATTCGGCGAAGGTCTCCTTGAAGTCGTCGTCCTGGCGCTCGAGGCGCCGCTCGACGCGCGCGGCGCGCTTCGCCTCGACGACGCGGCGCTTCGCGGCCTCCTCCTTCTCGTAGAGCTTGTGGCTGATGACCGCCTCCGCTTTCCGGAACTCGCGCTCGGCCTCGGCCTCGCGCTTCGCCTTCTCGACGTCGCGCTTGATCTGGTCGCTGATCTCGCCCCGCAGGCGGTCGAGCTCGTGCTGCTTGCCCGCCTCGGCGCCGCTGCCGGCGTGCTTGAAGAGGTCCGCCTGCGCCTCAGCGAGGCGCTTCTCGAGGACGGCCTTGGCCTTGGCCGCGGCGTCGGCCTCGCGCTTCGCCTCGGCGCGCTCCCGCTCGCGCCGCTGGAACCCGGCGGAGCCCACGGCGGGGGGGTCGTCCATACCGCGAGAAGTCTACTACGACGTCGGGAGGCGCCCGCGATATGGGTGGCACGGAGAAGCTCCTTGCAAAGCGCGGTATTAAAGGATATATCACGGGTGTTGAAGTTTTCGGCTCGCAGGCGCCGCGCTCCCGCCTCCCGCGCGCCGCGCCGCCCGGACAACAACCGCCGTTGAACACCCGAGCTCTCCTCGCCTCCCGCGCCGTGACAACAACAGCGGTTACTCGGACGACGGGCGCGGCGCGTCGCCGCTCCGGGGCTTGCTCCGGGGATCGTGCCTCCGGTACGGCTCAGCCCGCGGGCGGGGGACACACCTCCTTGATGACGCCGAAGCGGTAGAGCGGCGCGCCGCGCTCGTCGCGGAGCACGAGCACCGTGAGCGAGTTCCCGAACGCGCCGCCGTCGCCCGCGTAGTTGCGGAGCACGACGTGGACGTCCTCGTCGGCCCTGAAGGCCGCGGAGAGCTTCGCGTTGCACGCGTCGTTGACGGCGCAGCGCGTCGGCCCCTGGAGCTTCTTGCAGTTGTGGCCGACGAGCGCGCCGGACGGGTACGCCATGTTGTCGACGAAGGGCTTCGAAGCCGTCAGGATCTTGTGGTCGCGGTCGTCGGCGCGCGACAGCAGCCAGGGCCCGCGGAAGCGGCGGATCTGGTTCACGAGCTTGGCGTCCGCCGCACAGATGCCGTCGAGGACCTCGCTCAGCGGCAGCGACGACTCGTCGCTGACGTCGGAGAAGTGGTCAGGGGTGCCGGGGTAGTGGCTCGGGAGGTCGGCGCCGAGCCGGTCGCGCGCCGTCAGCGATTGGAGCGCGAGCATGGGTGGCGCGCGTTGGATGCGCCGTGCGAGGTCAAGCCCTTCGCATGCGCGTTCTGAGAGCTCGTGCAACTTGCAGCTGAATTGCTCCGGCACCGTCGGCGTCGCGCGGCGACAGCGTCTAAAGTCGCGGGTTTTCGCATGCTCCGGGAGCGACCCGGAGTTCTAAAAAAATAAGGACAAAGTAACAACTTTATCTAAGGATGCGGGCACGGTCGCCAAGGCCGCGCGCGAAGGCCTTACTGTAGGGCGCGCCGCGAGGCCAGACGACGCCGCGGGCGGGATGCGCCACCGGGGGTTCTGGCCGAGCGCGCCCAAACTCACGGCTTTCGAGGACCGCGTCGCCGCGCTAGAGGGGCGGGCCGACGCGCCGCACCGGCGGCACCGCGGAGCACCGAAGCGGCCGAAGCCCCGGCGTGCGTGCGGATTGAGGCTTGAAGTTCTCGCGAGACGCGCCTGTTGTCGTCGTCCGCCACACACACGCAATGAAGCTCACCGCCACCCTCGCCCTCGCCGCCCTGGCGCCCGCCTCCGGCTTCACGGCGGGCGTGCCCGCCCCCGCGGCGCTCACCCGCATGATGGCCGACGGCGCCCAGTCGGCCGACGCGTCGCTCGCCGTCGCGCCGGCGGGCGGCGGTAGCGGCCCCGGCAACGGCTGGGCGATCGGCGACATCTCCCCCGACGGCAAGCTGACGCAGCGCGTCGAGGGCCAGACGCGCAAGACGTGGGCCTTCAACGACTTCTCGAAGGACCGCGTGCAGGTCGCGCTCACGTCCGAGGGCCGCCCCGTGACGGCGGACATCCAGCTCTGGATCGGCCCCGACTGGACGCCCTTCTCGATGAAGGCCTACAGCGAGGACGGCAAGCTCCGCCCCATCCAGACCCTCATCGGCACGCGCAACAAGGCCGCGATGATCGAGGTCCGCAACAACGGCGAGTACGAGTTCCCCTTCAGCGCCGCGTCCAACTACGCCCAGGGCGCCATGGTGAACAAGCCCGCGACCATCCCCGCCGAGGCCACGACGTCCAGCGAGCGCGTCGACGGCGGCGCCCTCCGCTCCTACCCCATCGACGCCTCCGTCAAGCAGCTCGAGGTCGTCCTCAAGACCGACGGAAAGCAGCTCAACGCGCGCATCGAGCTCCTCAACGCGCCCAACAACCCCAAGCAGACCTTCGAGTGCTTCACCAACAACGGCGAGCTCAACTCCCTCTGCGTCTGCTTCAACATCCCCGACGAGTACACGACCGTCCGCGTCATCAACCTCGCGCCCGTCGAGTTCCCGTGCAACGTCCACCTCAACGAGAAGTAGAGAAGCAGCACCACCCGCGACGGCGAACGGACCGCAGCAGCGCGCCCCCACGCTGCTGCCAGTGGCGCGCGCGCGTAAGGCAAGCGCAGACACTACACACGCAACTCGGGTGGCCACCGTGGATCGCGCGCCAAAAATAACCGCCTTTCCGAGTTCAAAGCGTTCGGGGCAGCTTGCCTGCAAGTGTCACAGAGCGCAAACGACGTTGGCCCGCCCGACCTGGTTCTGCTCGCGCGTGACCGCTGCCCGGTTTGCTGGACCGCTCGTGCGGAGCGGCGCGGCGCGCACGATGGAGCGCTTCATGGACGAGGGCACCCACGTGCTCGTGTCGTCGGCGAAGAACATGGGCGAGGCGGCGGCGGTCCTGCCCGTGATCTCGACGCTGTCCTTCGGCTTCGCCGCGGGCGAGCTCCTCGGCCAGGACGCGTCGTCGCACGCGGCCGTGCTGCTCCTGCTGGCGCTCTCGGCGTCCTTTAGCCTCTTCGCGACGACGTACAGCGTTTTGGAGTCGTACTACATCTCCATGCTCACGGCGTCGGACACGCGGAGCCACTACGCCTACGGCGTGTGTGACCGCGAGCGTGCCTCGTCGACGAGCCAGCGCGACGAGCTGGCCCGCGTCATCGTCGACTTCCTCCAGGGCTTCGAGCCGTGGCGCCAGCGCGCGCGGGACGCGCTCTGGCTCTCGGTGATCCTCATCCTCGCGGCCTGCGGGTGCCAGACGGCCTGCGAGCGCGGCGTGTCGGTTGCGTCCGTCGGCGTCGGCGCCGCCCTCCTCGGCGGCGCGGTCTCCGTGCCGCGGACGGTGCTCAAGTTCCGCCGGCGCTTCGTGCCGCTCCTCCAGGCCTACCGCGAGCTCCAGGCGCTCCAGCGCGAGGGCGGCGCGGGCGGCGGGTATACGTAACAGCGCCCCTACAGTCCGCCACACGAGAGGTGGAGTCGCAGGTCCGGGTTGCGCGCAGGCCATCGTTGAAGTTCAAGTTGAACCTAAACTGAAGTGGCAAAAGCGAAGGATGATGGGCTCGGCATCACTCGCGCGCAGCGCGCGCCGCTTCGCCTCCGCGACGACGCCGCCCGGCGCGTTCTCGCGCGAGCGGCTCGCGGCCTGGCGCCACGCGCTGCACCGCCAGCCGGAGCTGGGCTTCGACCTCTTCAAGACGTCTCAATTCGTCGCCGACACGCTCGCCTCCTTCGGCGGCGACATGGACATCACGCGGGGCCTCGGCGGCACGGGCGTCGTCGCGTCGCTCCGGGGCGGCGCCGGGACCAGCGGGCGAGGCATCGCCCTGCGCGCGGACATGGACGCGCTGCCCATTTTCGAGGAAGCGGACGTGCCGTACCGGTCCGAGGTCGACGGCGTCGCGCACCTCTGCGGCCACGACGGCCACACGGCCATGCTCCTCGGCGCCGCGGAGCATCTGGTCTCCGTGGCGGAGACCCTCGACGGCACGGTGCACTTCGTCTTCCAGCCCGCGGAGGAGGCCGGCGGCGGCGGCGAGGTCGTGGTCAGGGCAGCAAAAGGGTGATTCAACGTCGCTTCAACGTGAGTGTTCCGCGCGCGCGCGTTCCGGAAACAGCACCCACGCTTCGAGAGCGCTCCGAGAGATGATCGCTCGTCCAAAAATCAGCCGAAACGAGCGGAAAACGGCCGAGAGAGGAGCCTTTGAAGTTGGGAAGTTCGCACCCTTTTGCTGCCCAGGTCATGGTCAAGGACGGCCTCTTCCGCGACGTCGCCGCGGACGCGACGGCGGTCTACGGGCTCCACAACTGGCCCCGGGCCATCTCGAAGACCCTGAGACCGGGCGGCTTCGCGGCGACGGCGGGCCCCGTCATGGCGGGCGCGGACGAGTTCGAGATGGTGATTACGGGGAGAGGCGGCCACGCGGCGATGCCCCACGTCTGCGTCGACCCCGTGCTCGCCGGCGCCCAGGTCGTCGTCGCGCTGCAGGCGCTCGTGTCGCGGTCGACGAGCCCGCTCGACTCCGTCGTCGTGTCCGTGACGTGCTTCGACGCCGGCGAGGCCGTCAACGCGATCCCGGAGACCGCGACGTTGAAGGGCACGGTGCGCACCTTCGACGAGGCCGTGCGAAAGCGCGTCAAGGTCCAGCTCCTGGACACGGCGGCCGCCGTCGCCGGCGCCTTCGGGGCGACGGTCGATTGCGACTACGTCGACGGCTACCCGCCGACGATCAACGGCGCGGACGAGACCGCGTTCGCGGCGGCCTGCGCGGCGCGCGTCGTCGGCGCCGACAACGTCGTCTTCGACGAGCCGCCGTCCATGGGCGCGGAGGACTTCTCCTACCTCCTCCACGAGCGGCCCGGCGCCTACCTCTGGCTCGGCGGCGACTCCGACTACGCGCTCCACCACCCGAAGTACGTCTTCGACGACGCGACGCTGACGACGGGCGCGGCCTGGTTCGCGACGCTCGCTTCCTCGGCGCTGCGAGCGGACTCCTAGCTTAGCTTCTTCGTCGCCGGGTGCCGCTTGCCGGGGCGGCCGTGGGCGTCGTAGAACCGGAGCTCCTCGATGACGAGGCGCTTCACGGGCGGCGGCCGCGCGATGCCCCGCTCCCGGCACAGGGTCTTGAGGTCCGCCGCCTCCATGGCCTCGTAGTCGACGTGCTCGGCGACGGGCGCCGCGGCCGCCGCGCGGACGGCGTCGCCGAAGGCGGCCTCGTCGACGCCCGGCCGCCCGCGCGCGAGCTGCCGCAGCTTCGACGCCATGCCCGACCGCGTCAGCGTCGGCGCCGTCGTCAGGCTGCGCCACGCGGCGTCGACGGCCGCCGCGTCGGCGTCGAGGAACGTGGCCTCGAAGGCCTCTCGCGAGACGGTCGACGCGTCGTCCGGGAAGAGCGCCTTCGACCACGCGGCCTCGTGCGACTTGGGCGGCACGTCGATGCCTAAATTCGGTGCGTTTTTCGGGCGAGACTCGTCGGACGCGGGCGCGCGCTCGGGTACGGCGGCAAAAGTTTCGCGTCCGTGAGCTCCTCGTACGCGTAGGAGACGTCGCCGTTTTCAATCGTGTAAAAGGAGCAGCTCGCGCACTCGTTGCGGCAGCAGGTGCCGCCGGACGGATCGACGAGCACGTAGTCATCCGCGAGCTGGTGGAAGATGGACGACGCCGCCTCGTCGAGGCCTCCTGCGCGCAGACCGCTGCGGCGCGGGCGATCGCTCAAGCAAAATGCGCTGCCTACGGGCGCGAAGACGGCGCCGATGACCAGCAGCGCGGCGCGAAACATCGAGGACGTGGCCATGGTGTGTTGCCACAACCTGTGCAAGGGCGAGGCTGATGATGCCTTGCGAGAGCGCGACGATGGAGGCGCCTCTCGACGCCTAAGCAGCCAACAAAACAACGATGAGCTCCCTCTCGGCGGCCGTCGCGCGCGGCGCCGCTCGCGCCGGCGACGAGCCCGACGGCGGCGCCGCCCTCGTCGTCCAGCACACGACGCAGGGCATGCAGTTCGGCATCGACGCCTTCTCGTGCGTCGCCGCCGCGCGCGCGCGCGTTCCGACGACCGCAAAACCTAGGTGGGAGCTCGGCCCGCGCTTCGAGGGCCTGCGCGGCGTCGGAAACGGCCTGCACCTCCTGTCCTTTGCGCCGCGCGGCGACGGCGCGGGCCGCGAGGGCGTCTTCGTATCGTGCGCCGCCGGCGACGTGCTCCTCAAGGCCTGGGACGCCGCCAACGAGCGCGCCGGCGGGGCCTCTTTTGAGTTTTCCCTTTGTACATAACACAAACCATAGGTGCGTCGCGCACGGCGGGGGCGCGCCGCCGCTCGACGCGCCGCAGCTGCGGTCGCTCCGCGCCGCGGCCGCGCGCCTGCGGCTCGCGCCGTACCCCGACGGCCACGCGGCGACCTGGGCGGGCCTCTCGGGCTTCGTTACGGCGGCGACGCTGAAGCGCGCGGGCCTCGCCGTCGACGTCGTTTTCGGGCCCGGGTCCGTCGACGACGAGGCCGGCGCGGGCGACGGCGCGAGCGCGTCCTGGACGCGCTGCGACGCGCTGCGCCTCCGGGAGCTCTTCGCGAGGTCGGTCGACACGCCGACGGCCTTCTTCGGGCCCGACGCCTCGGCGCGCGTGGAGGCCCTCGCCGCCGCGGATTTCGGCGGCGACGTTGCGGCGGTTTTGGGCGAGTGGCAGCTCGCGTTCGTTCTCTTCCTCGCCGTGGGCTCCTTCGGCGCGCTGCGCCAGTGGCAGCGGCTGGCGAGCCTGCTGTGCGCCTGCGACGCGCTCCTGGACCGGGCGGATTTGTGCGGCGGCGGCTTCTTCGAAGCGGTCGCCGAAATTCTCCGGAATCAACTCGCTCTCGCGCCGCCGGACTTCTTCGAGGACGCGCTCAGCCGCGACGAGGACGTGCTCCGGCCCGCACTCGGCGCGCTGCTGGAGGCCGCGGCGGCGCGGCCGGCCCTCGCGCCCGGCGCCGAGGCGCTCTTCGCCTTCGGGAAGCGCCGCTTCGGTCTGTGGCGGCCCCACGGCACGCTCGCGGCCGCGCTCGCGGCGGGCGCGCTCGAGCCCGAGCCGGCGACGGTGCTCGACGACCGGCGCTCTGCCGACGCCGCCGCGGACCCGGGCGCCGCGGGCTTCCCGGCGCTCGCGGCGCACCGGCGGCCCGACGAGGACGCGGCCATGGCCGCCGCGCGGCTGTTGGACCGCGGCGCCGCGGACGCGGCGCTCCTCGCGGACCCGACGCTGCCCGCGGCGCGGCGCGACGCGACGGCGTTCCTCGAGGGCCTCGCCGCGAAGCTCGACATCGCCGGGGAGTCGTAAAGGGGGCGCGACGACGCGGTGGCAAGGTACACGTCCAGCGCCGCGGCTGTGACTTTCACGCCGGCTCGCGGCCGCCGCGCCGACACGCCGAAGCACGATAGACTCCACTTTTTTTTGAATAACTTTGAGCACCATGGCCGAGACCGAGATCGAGCCCACGCCCGCGCCGGAGCCCGTGGCGAAGCCCGAGGAGCCCGCCGCGGAGCCCGCGCCCGAGCCCGAGCCCGCGGCGCCGCCGGCGCCCGAGCCCGCCGCCGAGCCCGCCGCCGCGGCCGACGACGACGACGACGACGACGACGAGCTCCCGCCGGGCCAGTACGAGGGCGACCAGGTCGTCACGGGCAAGCGCCAGCGCAAGAGCGCCGACAAGTTCGAGTACGACCACAAGGAGACGAAGAAGGCCGCGGTCGGCACGGGAACGCCGCTCGGCGAGCTCACGGGCGTGAACGAGAACATGGCGAACCCCAAGTTCAAGGACACGCTCGAGGCGCTGCACCTGCTCGTGCTCAAGTCCAAGGGCGCCAAGGGCAAGGTGCGCAAGAACCTCGCGGCCTTCTCCGGCCTCGTCTACTCCCAACCGGACGAGCGGCAGCGCTACGCGGACCGCCTCGGCAAGCTCAAGATCCCCGTCGTGAACGCCATGCTCGACATGCTCCGCGTCGACCGGTCGTCCAAGTCCTTCGAGGGGGGCAAGGTCGACAAGGACGCCGTCTGCGGCCGGCTCCTCGACTTCCTCGAGAACCCGGACAACTCGGGCGTCAAGAAGGCGTCGCGCGTGACGCGCGCGCCCGGCGCGAAGCGCGGCGCGGCGCCCAAGAAGAAGGCCGCGCCGGCGAAGAAGGCCGCGCCGAAGCGCAAGGCCAAGGAGGCCGAGTCCGACGACGAGGACGACGTCGACTCCGCGGAGGTCAGCGTCCAGGTCGCGCTCTTCCGCGCGGTCGCCAAGGCCGAGTTCGACAAGGACCCGGGCCTCGACCGCAAGGAGCTCATGGTCGCCGTCGAGGCCACCGTCGGCACGACGCTCAAGTGCACCGAGTTCAAGGCCGTCTGCAAGGCGCTCGTCAAGGGCGAGGCCGAGGTCGAGGCCGACGCGCCCAAGGCGTCGAAGAAGCGCAAGGGCCGCGGCGGCGACGACGACGACGACTTCGAGGCCGAGGTCATGCCCGAGAAGAAGAAGCGCGGCGCGCCCAAGGCCCGGTCGTCGCCGGCGAAGGCGCCGCCCGCGGACGACGACGACGACGAGGCGGAGGCGGACCTCGGCGGCGACGAGCCCGAGGCGCCCGCGGCCGAGGAGGAGGCGCCCGCGGCCGAGGAGGAGGCGCCGGCCGAGGAGGAGGCGCCCGCGGAGCCGGAGGACGCGGAGATGGCCGACGCGTGAGCGCGCCGCCGCCAACCCCGAAGCGGCGCGCGCGCCCCGGAAGAGTAAGATCCAAGAGACCCGCGATGGGGAAATAGGCGCTTAGACGAGCTTCGCGCCGCGCGCGTTGATGAGCATGAACTTCTCCGAGAGGTCGTTGACGGCGTTCGCGTTCTTGGTGACGGACGCGAGGTAGGAGACCATGAGCGCGTCGTTGTAGTCGCGCATGAGGTCCCGCGTCTGGTCCGGCGCGCCGCCCGTCGGGAGCGTGTCGCAGAGCCCCGAGACCTGGCGCAGGAGCGCGAAGTCGGGCTCGGCCTTGCCGCCGGCGACGGCGCGGAGGTAGTCCACCAGCACCGCGACGCGGGAGCCGAGCGTCCGCAGGGACGTGTCCACGGCCTCGACGTGCGTGTCTAAAGCCGATTCGCCGTCCGTCGGCGCCGTCTTGGCGACGATCTCCATGGAGATGCGCTCGGCCTGGAGCGTCTCGAGCGTAAAGGGGAGCGTCGCGAAGAGCATCGTGGGCACGTCGTCGACGACCTGGACCTCGGCCTCGAGGATGGTGATGGGCAGGTCCTTGGACTCGGCGCTCGGCTCCGGGTCCATCATGAGGCACAGCGGGCTCTCGTTGTACGCGAGGAACTCGCGGTGGAGGTCGAGGTGCGCGGGCGTCGCGGACTTCGCGAGGCAGTACCAGCCCAGGAGCTCGCGGTCCGCGTAGACGTCCGTGAAGAGCTCGGCCTGCTTCTTCAGGAAGTCGTGGTCGAGCTTCCCGTCGGCCATGGACAGCTCGATGGCGTCGAAGACCGCGACGTCGAGGCCGACCTGCTTGCCGAAGAGCAGGCCCAGGACGGGCGAGTCCGGCGCGACGCGCGCGCCGCCGAGCTTGACGCGCGTGAAGTGGTCGCTGACGCCGACGATGGCCAAAGGGTGGAGGCCCACGTGGCGCTGCGTGGCGGCGCTGGCCGTCGAAGCCATGGCGCGACGGGCGCTTGGGGTGGTGCCGCCGTCGAGGCGCGCGGCGCGCGGCGCGAGCTCCGGCTCCGGGGCACTGGCGGCGCGGTTGGCGACGACGACGACGAGGGCGCCGAGGAGGTCAAGGCGCGCGCGAGGCCCTCGGGCGTGTCGGCGGCGGAGGACTTGTCAAGGCGCGAGGTCCGGCCCCAGCTCGCGGTGGTCGAGACCTCCTCGGCGACCCCCGGCGACGCGGCCGCGAAGCCTCCGCGACAGAGGCCTCGACAGGCCTCGCGACGCGGCGCGTGCATCGACGCGCTGCCTCGCACGCGACGCCGCCCCCCCAGTCGCACGAAGGGCACGGTGCGGGACAGTGCTTAGCGCGCGCGATGCTTGTCGCGCGGCGCGTGCGGTTTTCGATCGGGCTTGGGGGACGCGAGCGTCGCGGGATGCGGGCGGGGTCGAGGACGTCGTCGCGCGAGGAGCGCGGCCTAGTACCGGCCGCCGCCGCCGCCGTAGCCGCGATCGCGGTCGTCGTAGCCGCCGCCGCCGCCGCCGTAGCCGCCGCCGCCGCGGTCGTCGCGGTAGCCGCCGCCGCCGCCGCCGTAGCCGCCGCCGCCGCCGCCGTAGCCGCCGCCGCCGCGGTCGTCGCGGTAGCCGCCGCCGCCGCCGCCGTAGCCGCCGCCGTCGTAGCCGCCGCCGCCGCCGCCGTAGCCGCCGCCGCGATCGCCGCCGTAGCCGCCGCCGCCGCCGTAGCCGCCGCCGCCGCCGCCGCCGCCGTCGAGGTCGTGGCTGAAGCGGCACGAGGAGCCGCGGTCGCAGCGGCCCTTCTGGAAGTCGAAGCAGATGCCGCGGGAGGGGCCGCCGCCGCCGCCGCCGTAGCCGCCGCCGCCGCCGTAGCCGCCGCCGCCGCCGTTCTCCTCCGTGACGCCTCCCGTGACCTGCTCGGCGCGGTCCTTGCCGCGGCGCTCGTCGAAGACCTTCATGTACTCGACGGAGGAGCCTTCCCGGAGGGCGTTGCCGTCTGATGAAGCCGAAGCCGCGCTCGTTCCACCGCAGCGCCGTGCCCCGCGACTTGCCGCCGCCGCCGCCGCCGCCGCGGTCGTCGTAGCCGCCGCCGTTGGCGTAGCCGCGGTCGTCGTCGCGCGGCCGGTCGTCGCGCTCGCCTAGAGGACAGATGGTGGACTCGCCGAACCTCGCGGCGCGCGCCTCGGGACGCGGGCTGGCGCACGACTCCTGGAACGCGAGCGCGCGCGGTCGTCGGGGGGCGGCGCGTCGCGGCCGCGGTCTTCGGCGTAGTCGGCCATGGCTCTGGGACGGAGGCTCGTAGCGTTTAGGCGATGCACCAGACTCGGCTCTGTCTGTCTCGCGGCTGCTCGCACTTCAAGTTGGCCACATGTTGCATCTCCTCCGCGGCTGCCAACCCGTGCTGCCATCCCGTGGCTGCCGTCCCCCGGCTGCGACGGGCGTTCCAGAGATGTATGGGGCGGGCGGGCCTAGGGCGCGCCGCGCGGCGGCAGGGGCGGGCTCCGGCACCGCGCCGTCGACGCGCGCGCGCCCGCGCCGAAGCGCGCGGACGGCGGCCGCCGCGCGGAGCCCGGCCGCGCGCGCGCGGACGCGGGCCGCGCGCGCGGCGTCTTGGGCCGCGCCGCGTCGCGCGCGCGCGCGCGGAGGAAGCAGAGCGCGACGCCGTTGGACCAGCCGAAGCCGAGCTGGGGGTCGTACTCGCCGCCGCCGCCGACGGCGCCCGGCCGGAGCGCGTCGAGCTTCTCGTGCATGAAGCCCGTCCGCTCGTAGGCCTCGCGGTTCGCGTCGAGCCACCGGTCCCGGAGGTCGTCCGCGAGGCGCCCCGCGGACGGCAGGCTCTCGAGGCGCCGCAGGCCCGCGTCGAGCACGAACTGGAGCGGCGGCCACGCGTTCGGCGCGTCCCACTGCTCGCCCGTGTTCAGCGCCGTCGTCGCCGCGCCGCCGTCGGAGAGCAGGCCCGACGTCACGAGGCTCGACACGAGCTGGACCTGGTCCCGCAGCTTCCAGTCGTCGGCGACGCCGGCCCAGAGCGGGAAGTAGTCGCTCAGCGCGGGCCCCCGGTCCCTCAGGGGCGACAGCGCGCCGCCGGCGCCGAGCGCGCCGTCGCGCCACGCGGCGCCGTCGCGGAGGCACGCGTCGATGGCCTCGGCGCGCGCGCTCGCGAGGCGCGCGAAGCGCGCGCCGGGCACGAAGCGCTCGCCCGGCGGCTCCATGGCGTCCTCCTTGGCGCGGGCCCACGCGACCCGCAGCGGCGCCTTCCCGTCGCGCCGCGCGGCGTCGACGAAGCGGTGGAGCGCCGCGAGGTTCCGCTCGAAGCGCACGAAGATGGCGTTGAGGTCCGCGGGCACGACCCGCGACGTCTCGATGGTCTCGAGCCGGTCCGGCTCGCCGAGCCACCGGGACGAGAAGTCCCAGCCGCTCTCCGCGGCCGCGGCGAGGTCGCCGTAGACGGCCGCGCGCCGCGCCTCGGGCGCGCGCGCCGCCGTCGCGAGGTCCTCCCGGTAGCTCTCGGCGCGGGGCAGGGTCGCCGCCGTGCGGTAGCAGAGCAGGGTGTAGGTCGCGCCGTTGACGGTCACCTGCACGTTCTTGTTCCGCGTCCACCAGTCGTGCTCCGTCACCAGCAGCGGCGTCGCCCGCTCCGCGAGGGCCAGGGCCGCCGCGGCGCGGTCGGCGTCGTCGGCCTCGAGCGCCGCGTCGAGGTACGCGCGCACCATGTCCGAGAGGAGCGGCGGCTGCGACCGGTTGAGGTAGTACGTCCGGCCGCCGTTCGGCACGAAGCCAAAGGCCTCGACGTAGTCGAGCAAATTCAGGATCATGTCCTTCGCGGCGCCGTAGCAGTCGCAGACCAGCAGCCCCTCGACGATCCAGTAGCTGTCCCAGTAGTAGGGCTCGCGGAAGCGCCCGCCGGGCGCGACGAACGGCCGCCGGGGCGCGAGCAGCGACGACCGGCAGCGGTCCGCGCCGGGCGCCGCCTTGCGCGCGAGCTGGCGCCACAGATCGTTGAGCGCCCGCGCCCAGGCGACGTCCCGCGCGTCGCCGAGCTCGCCGAGCACGGCCGGCGCCGCGGTCCAGCCGCCCGGCGGTCCCGCCGTCGCGAGCTCGCCCGACGGCAAATCAAAATGCTTCACGACGAAGGACCGCACGGCGGCCTCGTCGGCCGCGTCGACGGCCTTGAACTTCTCCAGGATCTCCTCCGGGTCGACGCGCATGGGCGAGTCCACGAAGGTCTTGCAGTCGTCGTACAGATGGTGCGTCTGCGCCGCGATGAGCACCGGCGAGCTGCTGCAGAAGACGAGGTTCGCCCGCGCCGCCGCGGCGGCCATCGCGCCCAGGTCCTCCTCCTGGCTCGACTCGAGGGCGCTCATGCTTTCGCGGCCGCAGCGCGGCGCAGACTGCGCTGCCACAACCGTCTCAAACCTTCTCGGCGAGGGTTTATCTGCGTTGAATGCGTCGTTGACGGTACGGTTGCCTTCAACAAGAGCGGGTGGCTCTACGTGTGCAACGTGCACGCGTGTCCTCGACGCTCGTGGATGCGCGCGGCGGGCGACTCGTGCGGCGAGCTCCAAGGTGCCGCGGCGGCGAGCGCCAAGAAGGCGACGCGGCGTCCAGACGGGGGGGCGCCTCTGGCCAACCGCCGCGACTGCGCACTACGTCCCCGCCACGCCGCGAGACCGGGGACGCCGCGCGCGCTGCCGCAACACGCGGAGCGAACTGCAGTCGAATAGAGGTTACGTGCCGCGCGCCGCCTGCGCGCGCCAGCCGCCGGGAGCCGCGCGCGCCTAGGCGCGGTTCTTGGACGCGAGGGGCCCGAGGAACTTGGCCTTCTCCTCGTCGGTCTGGAAGCGGCCGTGGCCGAACTTGGAGGACGTGTCGATGAACTTGAGGTTGACCTCCTCGAGGTGCGCGCGCTTCGAGTGCGCGATGAGCGACTGGCGGAGCGTGAGGCAGCGCTTCTTCGAGCCGACGACGCAGCCCTTGACCATGATCCAGTCCTCGTTGACCTCGCCGTAGTGGGGGAAGCCGCCCATGGGCGTGATGGACTTCTCCGTGAGGTCCGCCTCCGTGGAGGCGGACTTGGCGTCGCCGGACTTGCCGATGCGGTAGATCTTCTTGTTCATCTCCGTGCGGTGGTGGTAGCCGTTCTGGCCGCTGCGCGCCACGGTGAAGGACACGCGGCTCGGGTGCCACGCGCCGATGCACGCGACCTTGCGGAGGCCGCGGTGCGTCTTCCGCGGGAGGCGCGTGACGCCCCAGCGCGTGACGACGCCCTCCGTGCCGTGGCCCCGCGTGGCGCCGAGGACGTCGATCATCTCGTTGGCGTTGAAGACCGTGTCCACGGGCACCTCCTGCTCGAAGAGGCCCTTGGCGTAGTCGACCTTGGCCGCGACGTCCGCGCCGCCGTTGACCTGGATCTCCATGACGTGGGCCTTCTTCTGGCGGAGCTTGAGCTTCTTCACCTGCGTGTGCGCGATGACGCGCACGACGGAGCAGTACTTCTTGATGCGCTCGAGCTCGCGGTCGACGTCCTTCTCGCCGCCGTCGGACGCGCTGTACTTGGCCGCGTACTTGGTCATGGCCTTGCGCTTCGACTTGTACCAGTTCTTGTAGAAGCGGCGCTTCACCTCCTCGGAGAGGAAGGCGGCCCAGACCGTCGCGAGGGACCGGAGGCCCCGCGGCGTCTCGACATAGCCGACGAGGCCGACGACGACCATGGGGGGCGCCTCGAGCACCGTGACGGCCTCGACGATCTCCTTCTTGTGCACCTTGGAGCCCGGGCGGTCGACGTCGCGCACGACGTGCGTCATGCCCGCCTTGTAGGCCATGAAGGCCGTGAGGTGGCAGGGCTTGGACGCGTCGTCCTTGGGGAACGACCGCACCCGGCCGTGATGGTGGCGCGTGCGCTTCTTCGGGAGGAACCCGAGGTTCCCGTGGCGGGGCGCTTCAAATTTTCGGTGGGACATGGCCTATGGAGGGTTCGGAGTTTTTTTTGGGTCCGCGGCGGCGGGCGAGCGCGGCGCTCTCTCGTGTGCGGCAGCTCGCAGGCGCGACGGCGAGCGGCGCGACGTCGTGAGATGCGGTCATTTTTGAGCGCGCGTCACCGACGTCGTGCTGCTGCTGCCGCCGACGGAGACCATGCGCGCGCGCGCGACCCCGCGCGCGCGCGTTCACATGCGGACGCCGGCGCATGCGGCGAGCTGAGCCTCTGGCGATCTGGGCGAGGCTAGCCTAATGAGCTGCCTTACATTAGGCCGGACAAAAGATCAGAGGAGGCCCGCGCGGCATGGGAAGGTTCGACTCGTCGCGCGCCAGACCGTGCGTGCATTGACAGTGTCGAAGCGCTAACACTCGCAGTTTCATACGCAGCATATCGAGCAATCCAGCCATCGCCTCTCGCAGTCACACGCAATTTAGTCGCCACAAGCGAGCGCCACTAGCCGATCAACTCCACACAGCGGCAGTTGCCTCGCCATGCAGCGCGCCGACGCCGTCTTCCACCGCGTGGCGCTCTTCCTCGGCGGCGTGAACAAGTGGCTCTTCGACCGCGAGAAGATCGAACACGAGATGGCCGAGTGGCTCATGGGCCAGGCGGACTACGGCGACGTCGTCGTCGAGCTCGACCGCGCGCGCAAGGTCGCGACGGCCTACGTCTGCGGCTTCGGCGACGAGCCCTTCGACGCCGCGAAGCGGGCCCTGGGCAAGTGCCGCGCCACGGACCGCCGCGGCAAGTACATGTTCTGCGACGTGAAGCCGCACGACGACTACGGCTGGGCCGTCGCGCGCCGCGCGGACGAGGCCGCGGACCGGCTCGCGCTCGAGGCGCTCGCGCGCGAGGCCGCGGACCGCGAGAACGCCGCGCCGGCGAACGCCGCGGACCGCGCGCCGCCGGCGAAGCGGGGCCGGTCGCCGGAGCCGCCGGCGAGCGCCGCGCGGCCGCGCGTCGACGCGCCGCGACCGCTGGTGGCTCCCGCGGCGGCGGCGGCGGCGCGACCGCTGGTGCCCTCCGCGGCGGCGGCGGCGCGACCTCCGGTGCCTCCCGCGGCGGCGGCGGCGCGACCGCTGGTGCCCCCCGCGGCGGCGGCGGCGGCGCGACCGCTGGCGCCTCCCGCGGCGGCGGCGGCGCGACCGCCGGTCCTCCCGCGGCGGCGGC